TTAGCGTAATGGCTATGTCGCTGGACTCCCACGTAGTTGGCCACGGTTCGCGTCCCAGACCCGGTGGCTTAAAACTCATGCCGGGCGCGTGTGCGAGCGTGCCCAAGATCCTGAGAGGAGAAGGGTCTGCGGCGTGACCATCCCCCCGGGGGGTGATTTCTCGCTTTCTGTCTCTATGTCTCTCTCTGTCTGGTGAGCGCACACACCCTATAGCGAAAAACCTCTCCAAAAAAAAAAAATTTTACTAGTGGACATATAAGTTTGCCAGAGACGGGACTGGGGGAGTGGTCACAAGGCACACCCCATGAGGGATGCTGCTGCTGCAGTCTCTTCTCCTACACTCTCTTTGGGATTTGGGGCATACATGCACATGTGCCTGGTGTGTTTTTCAGGCCACCAGGTCTGGGATTCAAATCGCGCTGTTGGCCCTGTGGTATTCAGCTGCCTTAACCACCATACAACTGGCTTGCCCCAGAGTTCATTTTTTTTTTTTTCAAGAGATATTTGATATAGGGTGTGTGTGCTTGCCGGAGAGACAGAAAGCAAGAAATCGCTCCCAGGGAGATGGCCATACTGCAGTCCCTTCTCTTCCATTCTCCTCTTGAGATTTTGGGCACACTTACATATGCACCTTGTGTTGTGGTAGGCAGTTAGTCATGAGTGGGCAGCCCTAAGAGAAAAGCGAAAGGGCATTTTGGTCAACGCCCTAATCTCCACTAGGTCAATGCCCTAATTCCCACTAGGGCAATGAACTAATTAGGCAATAAAATTAAAACAACCTGGCTCACATTGGGCATGCGCAATTAGGTAATCAAATTCCTCATTCTTTATCTGTGAGAAAAGTACGCAAGTAGATTTAAATTTCAAATGCAGGACATAGGTAGTGTAACAGACCTCCCACCAATGAATATTCATGACCTCTAGTAATAAAAGTAAGGGTTAACCAGTACCAAGCTCGGATTGCCACCTGGCAATCTGCCTGCCCAAGAGCCTTTTGGGTGTACTTTCCTTTCATTCCTATTAAATCTTCTTTTCTACCTACTTCATTCGTGGTTGCAGTTTCATTTTTTGCCTAGGGACAAGGCTCTAATTTTAGTGATCTGGACCCAAAGAACCAAGGACTTCACAATGCAGTTCGACACTTTTCCACTTGTTAACAGTATGAGTTTTAAGTCGCAGGGTCCAGGACTAAAACTACACAACTATGTGGAAGTCCAGCAACGTAACTATTATGCCGTCTGCTGGTCCCCCAGAGTTAAATATTTTTTAAAAATCATGGCTTTGGGACTGGCGAGTGGCGTGGTGGTTAAGGGTGTTGGACTCCCACATGGCCAACTGTGGTTTGAGTCCCAGACCTGGAGGTTTGTTTGTTCATTTTCTCTCTCTCACTCTATCCCTCTCTGGTCAAATTAAGATAAATAAATACAGCTAAATAAAATAATTCTTTAAAAAAATCATTGCTTTAAGGGTTTTGCTCTGTGGATCCTTAAATTTGATACCTCAGTTTTGACTACGATATACTAACCTTTTTATATCTTTTATGTTTTTATATTCTGCAAGATTCTACTTGATACTTTTTTTTTTTTTTTGAGAGGTTTTTGCTATAGGGCGCGTGTGCTCGCCAGACAGACAAAGAGAGACATAGAGACAGAAAGCGAGAAATCACCCCCCAGGGGGGATGGTCACGCCACAATCCCTTCTCCTCCATTCTCCTCTCGGGATCTTGGGCATGCACGCACATGCGCCCAGCGTGAGTTTTAAGCCACTGGGTCCGGGACTCGAACCGCGGTCGACTACGTGGGAGTCTAGTGACATAGCCATTACACTAACTGCTGGTTCCCATCTACTTGATAAGTTTTTAAAAATAATTATTTTATTTAACTTTATTTTAATTCGACCAGAGAGGGACAGAGAGAAAGAGTGAGAAAGCAAGCCTCCCACATGGCCAAACCCCAGTCACGTCACCAGCCGGCCCCTCTATTTAATAATTTTTTATTTATTATTTTTACATCCAAGTTCACTAGTGAGATTGGCCTGTGACTTATTTTCTTGTATCATCTCAGATGGGGCTTGGTATCATGTTTTTTTTTTTTTTTTTTTAGAGGTTTTGACCATAGGGTGTGTGTGTTTGCTGAAGACGGAGACAGAGATAGTGAGAGGGAAAGTAAGAAATCACCCCCCACGGGGAATGGCCACACCTTAATCCCTTCTCTTCCATTTTCCTCTGGGATTCTTGGACATACACACACATCTGCCCAGAGTGATTTTCAAGTCACCAGGTCAAGTACTCAAACTGTGCGACTGCATGGACAGAAGGGAGTCCAATGACATAATAACTATGCCATCTGCTGTCCCAAAAGCTTTTTCTACAGCTTGAAAGACTTGGTATAAGGTTGGCATTATTTCTTCTCTAAATATTTGGAGAAACTCACTAGTGAAGTTATCAGAAACATATGAGGGAGGGTATTTAATAATAGATTAAATTTCTTTAACTATTTTAGGATTACTCACGTTCATTATTTTTGAGGTGTTTTTTTGTTTGTTTTTTGTTTTTTTTTGTGTGTGCTTTTTGTTTGTTTGTTTTTTTGTTTTTTGAGTGGTTTTTGCTATAGGGCACGTGCACTCCCCAGAAAGACAGAGAGACAGAAAGTGAGAAATCACCCCCCAGGGGGATGGGTGGGGATGGCCACTCCGCAATCCCTTCTCCTCCATTCTCCTCTCCAAGATCTTGAGCACACACACATGCGCCCGGTGTGAGTTTAAGCCACTAGGTCTGGGACTTGAACTGCGGTCGACTATATGGGAGTCCAGTGACATAGCCATTATACCAACTGCTGGTCCCTATTTTTTTGAGAGATTTTTACTATATGGGATGTGTGCTTTACAGAGAGACAGAAAATGTGAAATCACTCTTCTGATGGGGGGGTGGGGGTGGGCGGTGACTATGTTGCAATCCCTCCTCCTCCATTCTTTTCTTAGGATTTTGGGCATGCATGCACATGTACCCAGTGTGAGTTTTTTGTTGTTGTTGTTTTAAATGTCTATTATTATTAAGTTTTTTTTTTTTTTTAAAGAGGTTTTTGCTATAGGACGAGTGCACTCGCCAGACAGACAGAGAGATAGAAAGCAAGAAATCACCCCCCGGGAGGATGGCCATGCCGCAATCCCTTCTCCTTCATTCTCCTCTCGGGATCTTGGGCACGCACGCACATGCGCCCGATGTGAGTTTAAGCCACCGGGGCCGGGACTTGAACCCCTGTCGACTACGTGGGAGTCCAGTGACATAGCCATTACGCAAACTGCTGGTTCCAAGTTTTTTAAAGAATTATTTTATTTAATTTTACTCACTGTCATTTTTTTTAATTATTATTTTATTGAAGCTGACTAGAGAGAGATAAAGAAAAAGAAACTGAGAAAGTCAGCCATGGGGGAGTCCAACCATCTTAACCACCATGCCACCTGCTGGGCCCCATTAATTTAAAGTTATTTAATTTCATTTGTTATTATTACGATTTTAAAAATTATTTTATTTAATTTCACTTATTATTACTATTATTATTGTTATTATTTGACCAGAGAACTACAGAGAAAGAGAAGGAAGATGAGAAAGCAAGCCACCGGGTCAGTGTCCCCCATCTTCACCACCACAGTACCTGATTTGTTATTATTCTTATTTTCACTAAACCAGCCAAGTTAATAGAGTTTTAATAGAGCAAATCTTTTTAAAAAGAATTATTGTTATTTAATTTTATTTTTAAACAATAATTCTTTTTATTTAACTTTATTTATTTATTTATTTATTTAATTTATTTAATTTAATTTGACCAGAGAGGAACAAAGATAGAGAGAGAGGGAAAGTGAGAAAGCAAGCCGCCAGGTTCGGGACTCGAACCGTGGTCAGCAATGTGGAAGTGTTCGACTCCTCAACCACCATGCCACCTGCTGGTCCCCCCTGTTATTATTTTTTAATTCAACCAGAAACGAATAGGGAGAGAGAAAAAGGGAAAGCGAGAAAGCAAGCCACCAGGTCGAGGACTTGAACCGTAGTTAGCCATGTGGGAGTCCAGTGCCTCAACCACTACACCACCTGCTGACCCCTTATTATCACTATTATTATTACTATTTATCACTGTACATCTTTACAGTATACACAATGAGTTTTTCCACTCTGAATACACTGCATATCTGTCCAGTCAAAGATATTATTATGTACATTATTATCAGCAATTTTCCATTTTTATGTCTTTTAAGTATTCTGCTTCTTGGGTCAGCAAGTAGCCCAAGAGAATATAATAAACATATAGAATTCCTTTTTAGACATTTCACAAATTTCCATCTCTATAGGGTCTATTGCTGGAGTGTTATTCTATTTCTTTGGGCGTGTCATGCTAACTTGCTTTTTTCGGGTATCTTGTATCCTCATGTTGATATTCGCTCATCTGGTGAACTGTTACCTCTGCCAGTTTTAGAGGATGGCATAGGATGGCATTCCAGGTGAAAAGACTTTTTCCAGTAGTTGTGTCCTAGGATGTCAGTTGTGTTGAGTATGTTGGCTTTGGCTCTAGTAGGCATGGAAGCGTAGTCTATGTGTATTATCTTCTGTTGTAATCAGTCTCAGTGATTCCTAGAAGTGACTCAGTGGCCTAGGCTGACTGTTTTGGAATGTGATGGGGTGGGGCTTCTCAAACAGCACAGATGTGTCCAAGGTCACTCTCTCAACCTGCTTCTTCAAGATGCAGAAGGGGGATCAGCAGGTGGCGTGGTAGTTGGGACGCTGGACACCCACGCAGCCGACCATGGTTCAAAATCATGGACCTGGTGGCTTGCTTTCTCTGTTCCCCCACAACTCTGTCTCTCTCTCTGGTCAATTAAAAAAAAATGAAAGAATAAATAAAACTAAATAATTCTCTTAAAATTTTCTAACCCCCCCCCAAACACGGAGGGTTAGGCCCTCTCTGAAACTGAGCTGTGGGTATGTGTGAAGGTGAGGCTGCTCCAACAGCTCCTGGTGCCAGTGGTTGTAGGATACTTGCCCAGCTGCTCCTGCAGGATGAAGGTGGATGTGGTCACATCATAGCCATCGTGTACAGCCATGACCTGTGTGAGGGACGGTACAAGGCAGCCTGAACTCCTCCTCTGAGGTAATTCAGCAGTGTGACAAGGACAACCCCTGGTCACTTCCTAAATTGGGCTTGGGCCTGTGAGGGCTATGGAATTCCCTGTGGTAAAGTCCAAGGTGTCAGTGGGACTGCTGAGGGCTTCTT